ATTTTTAAAGAGGAAGTTTATTAGAAAGAGACGAGAGAGGGGAAGACACTTGGTTAGGTGCAAGTGGGCAGGAAGAGCTGCCCCGAAAGGGACAGGTTTGCAGGGAGAGAGACCTGCATAGTTGCAGGCAGGCAGGCAGCTGCTGCCCTGCAGAGGGAGAGAGCAGGTGGACAGAGCACCTGCATAGGCACAGGTGGGCAGTGGGTGGCTGCCCCGTGCTGGTGGAGAGACTGTCCAGATACCGGCAGCTTCTCTCTGGGAGGGGCTCACTCCTTGTGAGCCCAGGTTTGTTGACTTTGAATAGAGTCTGAGAGGAAGGAGATTCCCCAGTGAGCTTCATCTCCATATCCATGTCCTTGTCTACACCTGGGTGCCAGTCATCCAGGCTTTGGTGCCCTGATGTTATGGCTGTGTCAACGGCTGCGTTTGCCCCTTCTACTCATCCTTTTGTGTGACTCAGTCTTGTGATCCTTGTGACTCAGTCTTGTGTGACTGTGTCTTGCATCCCTTCCTCCATGAGAAGGAAGAAGGTTTTTTAGTCAAAGATGGTAGAATATAGTTTTTTAAAGAAAAGATTGCTTCCCAGCAGGTAAGATCACTGCCACGTTAGAGAAGGCAAGGAGTCTTCTCCTGCAGAGAACCTGCTGTTGTTTACCTGGAAAAGTCAAGGGTTATTTGCGTGGGAGAGTTGAAACTGCAGTTACCTTAGATAATAAATCTTGGTTTGAAGAAGTGGATTTGGCAGGAGTAACTCCATTTTGGATCTGCTGTTTCTTTGGCTTATTTTGTCCAGCCAAGCCAGAATGATATGATTCTCCCTGCTGCTACAGTCTCTCTCCTGTCGAAAGCAACTGTGACTCCCCAAAAGCCATGAGACACTGAGCGGGCAGGGGCCTGGCCAGCACCTGGCAAGTGTGGCCTTCACTCACTGACCTTTCCTCTCTGGTGGGGGCTCGGGTTTCAGTCTGCTAAGAGAAACACTTGCTGTCCTGTGGTGCCAGGACATGAAAGTGCCCTCTTTTCCCTCAGTCACTTACTGTAATCACCCAAATGCAGATGGAGAATGATTAGGGACTACAGCCTTTGTTCCCAAGAGATTAGTGTCCCTGGCAGGCAGCCTGTCTCCCCACTTCATTCTCACCGTTTCTCGACCCCTGTAAAGTTTAAATATTAGTCAAGGGCTGCGTGCTTGTGAGGTTGCAGAGATTAACTCGACAGAATGGAAGACACCCACTGCAAGTTCATTTGGCAAATGGTCCCTCCCCTCAAGCACCTCCAACCCCTCAGGAATACTGTAGCCCCGACAAACAATATTTCTGGCTGACTGGGTAAGGTCCCTGCTCAAAAGGCGATGACTTTGTTTTCCATCCCCCAAGATGACTTTGGCTACCTGCCCCCTCCTGCTTAGGGGAGGAGGAATGTTTGCGACCTCCTGACAAGCAGTGTTTTCCCCCAAAGCACTATCTTGCCACCTTCTGCCCTGACCTCTCCTCCCCTTGGTGGAGGTTAATTCTCTTCTCTGGGATCTCCCTAAGGTCCTTGTTCTGTAATCCTTCCTATCTCTGAGCCACAAAGGTTTTGTTTGCTAGTCTTCCTTCCTTTCATAAATCAATCCCCTTTATCCTTTAGTCAGGTTGCTTGTGTCTGCCTGCACTCCCAGGGGCCTCCTTGGTACACAGCCTCCCTCTGGCCCCTGGGGAGAAGTTGAGATCAAGGGCCCAGCAGCTTAGAGTGATATGAGCTGAAATGTCACCTAGCACCGTGATCCTGAAATCCTTATTGAATTGAGTAAGATAAACCAAATGTGAAATATTTATTTATCAGGACATCTCAGTCCATCTGGAACATTCACATATTAACAAAATGTTCAGGCACTTAAAATCCTTCCTCTTGGCAACACGTTTGGGCTCTCCTTATATGACACCATCCTGGATAGCAGTTCCTCCATGAGGAGTCAAGAGTATCAATCCCTGAATTCAGCTTTTCTGTTGCTCTTCCAACTCTTCAAAACCAACTGGGGAGTATTTCTCCTTTCTATGAGATTCCTGGGGCTCAGGGAGATCGGTATGCATTGTGGAATGCAGTGTGGAATGAGATTGGAGGGCCTATGATTTGGGGCATTTTCTTGACTCAAGGATTGAATAATTTAGCACTTAGAATTTGCAGGCACCAATGATATGCCTTGGGATTCAAAAGATGAAAAAAATCTCCATCCCTACCGTAGAATACAAGAAGACAGAGAGAAAAAGAGGCAGGTAGTTATAATACAAAGAAATAAGTGTCAAAATTAGACTGAGAGTAGAGAAGATATTTACAAGGCAGGGGATCAATGTTTTCCTTCTGTGCAGGTTGATAGAATTTACCTGGCAGATGTATTGTCAGGAATAAATAAAATACTACTCTTAGAATAGGTGACATTTGAATTGGCTCTTGAAAGATTTGCCAGATAGAGTCAGCACAGGGAGGCATGTTACAGATGGATAATAATGTCAGGTCCTTCCCCTGCTGAAATGTTCTCAGAATTAAGTAAGGCCAGAAAACAATTGGAAAGTAAAAGCACAATTTGTGGATAAGGTATGATTTAACTTGATCAGCTGTTCATTTGATGTCAGAAGCCTGGTTAAAAGCCAGAGGAGATAGATACTTTTATCGGTGTTTAAAAAGAAAAACAAAAACAAGATAAAATTCAATTAAGTAAATTTGAAAATCAAATTGGTTTTATCCACTGAATCCTGTCTACTAGGTAGGAAGGCCTCAGAAGAGCTGTAAAAGATGGAATTTTTTTATGGTTAGCAAGAGGGTGAGATAAGATTATTAGGGAAAGAAAAGAGAAGTTCTTTCTGGTAAAAGCACCTTTCCTCCAGGCAGTCTTATGCAGATAATCTCACTGGTGCTGACCAGAAAATTCCAGATTGATTGGTTTAAACTTCCACCTTTGGGAGAGGTTGAAACTGCAGTTAGGGTGGGTATTTAGTGTTGGTGGGACTTCACATAAATGACTCCATTTGGGGTCTGTTGTTAACATATGTCTTACCATTTTACCGCATCCCAGTCACCCTTTCAGGTGAAGGAGAAGCAGGGGATTTTGATTTTTTTTTTCCCCTTTACTTCACGACCCCCAGGAAACAGAGTCCTGTTCCTGTGGTAAAGGCTCCTGAGGTTGCTTAGGGAGTGTGGCTGTAAAACCCAGTGCTCCTCAGCCCTAGTGCTCAATTTCTGAACTTTCACCCATGCCCTGGAGGACCCACTTTGTATGTGGTGGTGGTGGTGGGGGGTTGTCTCTGAGCCTCCTAGGAATGGAGTAGTTAAAAGTCCCTGCCTACTAACTAGCTAAAGAAGACCAGGGCAGGTGGCAAATAAACACAAGAAAACATGCTCCACATTATTAGCCACTATAGACATGCAAATCTAACCACAATGACAGGCAGTGACCATTATCACTGTGACACTCTTGAAGCTGAGCAAGGGAAATGCTGGTAAGGACAGGGTCTCCCACATGCTGGGGGAATGAACTTTGGAAAACAGCCTGGTGTCTTCTATTAAACATTTGTCTTAAGACTCAGAATCCCATCCCCGGGTATTTACTCAGGAGAGATGAAAAGTCCACTTAAATATCTTTACAGCTTGTCAGAGACAAGTTATGCAAGTGTTTACAGCAGTTTTATTCAGAATAACCTCAAACTGGGCGCCATCCAAATGTCCAGCAACATGTCACCGTAACTTCAGGTTTTCAGCCAGGCATGGACCCCAGGCTGAGGTGGCAGCTGAGTCCTGGCACTAGATCACCACAGGTTGGGGTCTCATGAAGCCACAGCAGCAACTTTGCTGATGCTCAACAGGCAAGCGAGAGAGGCAAATTGGTCACAGAAATGGATATAAGGAAATGCTTATTAAGGAGAAAAGGAAGAAGTAAGGTGGGACTCCCAGGCCCCTGGAACCAGGCCTGGGAGGGCCAAGGAGCAGTGGAGGTGTGGCTCAGGGAATGCAGACCTTCTGCCCCTAATTATTCTAAAGTCTCCCCCCACACACACTCTCTTGGTAACTGGTTAGTTCTTGGTGGTCTCACTCTCTCTTACTTAATGTGTCTGTGCCCAGAATTGCAGCTTGCTTCACAGCCCTTATCTTAGACTCCTTTTTCTGTTGCTCCTCATCCTGGGATGTTTGATGAGTCCCCTTTGGAATTTGTTGCCCTTATCTCTGGAGCCTCCCTTATTCCTCCAAGGCTTTTTCCTATTCTAATCTGACCCTGGAAGCCATCTGCTTGCCCTGTGACTCAATGAGTGGGTCTCAAAAGCCTTGTAAAGTGGAAGGAGCCCTACAGAAGACTACATGTTTGATTCCATTTCTGTGGCATTCTGAAGAAGGCAAACATATGGGGACAGAAATCAAATTAGTGGTTGCCAGAGGTGGGGGAAAGGTACTAACCTCAAAGGACACTATGCACAAGTGAACTTTTCGGAGTGTTGGAAATGCTCTATGTATATAGTACAGTGAGTAAACAGCAGTAACATTTGTCAAATCTCATCACACTGTACATCGAAAAGTGAATTTTCACTTGATGTAAATATTACCTCAGTGAGCCTAAGTAACAAGAGCCTCCCCTAAACTCTGCTGCCACCAAATCAGGCTCCACAATATGATATCCAGCCCACCAGTTGCTCAGGTCTCCCCTTGATCATACATGGACTTGAAAACAAAGCCCACGCACATGCCATCACCAGCTGCTGGGTCCCCTCACCCCCAAGCAAGTGCCCGCACTTCAATGCCTACTGCTGGCTTCCAGCCCTGATCAGGGCAAACTCTAATTTGTGACACATAATCCCCATTTGTAACCCATTAACCTAGCCAAATTTTCTCAACACCGGGGCTGAACTTACAGTGTATTTGGCTCGCTCATTACAGCCCCATCCTCAGGAGCAGGAAGTACTTCTGCTTATATAGGGGTGTCCTGTAGCCTCATTCTGGCCCCTGAGGGTACATTTGGGGGTCTTTCATTTCAGTGCTCCTCACATGGGTCAACTGCTCCAGTGTGCGGTGGGCCACCCGCGTCCAAGACATATTCACCGCTGGGAAGCTCCTGGCTCTCGCTCTCATCATCATCATGGGGATTGTACAGATTTGCAAAGGTGAGTGGCACTGGAACAATGGGGCCCCACCCAACTAGGCTCTTGCTTGTAGACACTGCTCGAACTTCTCAGACTGTGTGTACACCCAAAGATTTCCTAATTCTGACCTTAAGTGACATTTCTTCTTCATTTGCTTGACAAGGAGGAAGAGAAATCATTTTCCATGAGGTGGTTGGAAGGAAGGCCTTATCCCCACCCCCTCGTTTACAGATTTCGCTCCTCCCAAGCCAACCTCATAATTCCAGCTCAGCTAGAATATTCCAAATGTCTTGACTCCTGTTACCCTTTTGTCCCAACCTCAGAGACACTCCTCACATCTTATCTTGTATCTTGTCCTTACCATAAAAGTCGGAGATGGAAGTGGAGATTTTTACATACATTTCAAATTTCTTATAATCTCTAGGAGAGAGAGCTCTACATTCCTAGGGTCCCTGCCAACATTCTCCACTGGATTTGGTCCTTTCCAAGCCTGAGCCTGCGTTTGGTTTCCATGGGACCCGTGGCACCTCCAGGCTCTGCCCAGTGTCGCTCTCCCCAAGAAGTCAGATGACAAACAGGGAGTCAGCCCTCCCACCGCCCACAAGCCCTAAAGGCAGTGTCTGCTGCCTGGATTTTTTTCTCCGGGAAACATATTAAGGTTCTGCTATATAATGTGCCTGATTATTTTAATCGGTTGGATTAAGTTCTTTAGCAGGTTATATTGTCTTCAGGAATTTGAACTTAAGGAAATCACCACACTATCTTTGCAAAGATATGGCGAGCCTCCTGACATAGTTCTGGCACTGACACTTGATCACACTACTCTATTTCCTGCCTAAATGCTGGATGAATGAATTACAGACAGTTTACTCTGTGTCTCATTACAAACTCATCAGCAACCTTCCTTGAGGACCCGGTGTGTGCAGGACATTCTGCTAAGGGCTAGGAAAGCAACAGAAAGCTCTTCTCTGAATAACTCCAACCTCAGGGAATTTATACTCTGAAAGGGAAGTTGAACACAATCCTTAGGAAGAGACAAAAGGATATTGACAAAGAAAGCAGAACAAGCTTGAACCAATATAGCTTTATGAAAGTTTGAATATTTGCTGTCCTTGGTCCTTTTTTTCTTTTTTAAAGATTTATTTATTTATGCATACCAGAATGGAGGTAAAGCCCAGAGGTGCAGGGGTGAGAGCACTCACCAGACATAGAGTGGAGAACAGAACAGTTGGATTGTCTGAAAAAAAGTGCTGAGGAGGGCAGCAGATGAGACAGGAGAGGTCTGCTGTGCCATGTGGGTCACCTCCCTGGCCAGGGATTGAACTCTCAAACTCTTCGTGCTGAAGCAGCTGCGGATAGCTTCATAGTGTTGAGACTTAACCCCTTACACCACCAGGAGGCCCCATGTGCTTAGTGCTTTTTCCATGAAAATGTACAAACTTAATCCTACATCTCCAAATTCTAGCATGCAGGGTCCCAATTTACGCTGCCCAACCCAGTGACCTCTCCTGGCCTTTCCTTCCAAGTAACTCTGTCTTTTACAAAAGGAACATTCAGAACTTGGCTTTGAACCTGGGCCCCCATATGAACTCAGGGTTACCAGGCTCCAGTTGGTCCTGGTAAGCCCTGCTCTTTTGGGTTCCACTCTCTGATTATATGGGGTTCACGGGAATCAAGTCAGAGCTGGATCATTTCCAGGGGGAGTGGGGCTGAGACAGGATCAGGCAGGCAGGGTCTGCTAGGCTTCACCCCTCTCCCTGAACTGCCTCATGCCCCTTGTGTCCACAGGAGAATACTACTGGCTGGAGCCAAAGAACGCGTTTGAGAATTTCCAAGAACCTGACATTGGCCTCATTGCACTGGCTTTCCTTCAGGGCTCCTTCGCCTATGGAGGCTGGAACTTTCTTAATTATGTGACTGAAGAACTTGTTGATCCCTACAAGTGAGTTAAAATACCCCAGCTCTTCCCTTTCCCTTGAAAGGTCCCAGCACCTGCTATTGGAATGAGGGAACCAGGTACCCATTGCCCAGTTTTCCCTTAATCCCTGTTCTGACCTTGACCTGTTCTATCTTGAAGAAATAGTCCACTTGCCAGGAACTTACACCATTTTTTATCCACTCTGCCCAGAGGAGAAAAATGACCCAAGGACTATCCCAGAGCAGGGTAAAAGCTGAATGGTGGTGAGGTAGCACCACTTCCTTCCGAGAATAAAATATGTGAGGTTTCCAGATTCTCCCGCAGTCTTACCCACCTGCTGGGGACACTGGGGCTTTTATCTTGGGGAGGGGAAGAGGGGTGCATTGTGAATGAGATTCTAATCAGAAAGAGGTCAATAGGTGTGAGCTTATTTCCTGCTGAGGCTGCTTCATTTCCTTTAAACTGGGACAAAATCCACCTCCCAGGGAGTGAGAACATCACAGAAGAGCCTACAAGGTCAGTTTTGTGCAAAAAAGAAAGAGATAACCCTGGAGCTCCTGACCAGGCAGGTGATCCCAGGTGTGGACCTCCTCCCTCTCACCTCCTCTCCTCTGCAGGAACCTTCCCAGAGCCATCTTCATCTCCATCCCACTGGTCACATTTGTGTATGTCTTTGCCAATGTCGCTTATGTCACTGCAATGTCCCCCCAGGAGCTGCTGGCATCAAACGCAGTCGCTGTGGTAAGAGATCACACTCACAGCCCCCAACCAGGAATGTTAGCGTAGCCTCACCCCTTAGGCCTAGCCCCTTTTCCCTGACCCCTGGAAGTCATCCCAAGTCTGGGGCAGAAACCCCCTGCTCCTGTGCCCAGAAATAAAGCGCTGACCGGGTGGTACCTAGAACAGCTACAGCAGTTGAAGCTGAGTACTTGCCACAGAGACTGTATGACCAAAGAGCCAGAAATATTTACTATCTGACCCTTTATGGGAAAATTGCACTAACTGATGGTCTAGGGCACTTTAAAAGTGAAAATGAAGGACTTAGGTTCCTCCTCAAAATATCTTGCATGGGAGTCACCATCCATCTCTGCCTTCTCTTTCTCCCCTAGAAGGGGTGCAGTGACTGACTCCTTCCTCATCAGGGACAAGTGTGTGGGATCTTCCCATCTTCCAAGGCATTGGGGTCCTTGATGGCTAGGAAAGATCTAGAACCAGAACCTCCACCCTAGCATACACCCCTTCCTGCCCCCCGCCTCACCTGGCTCACCACTTCACTTGCTAAACCCTATCATATCTTCTCTAATGTCTGAAAACTTTAAAAAAAAAAAAAAAAAAAGGCCCCCCGAGTCCTGCAACCTGTTGCTTTGGCCTTCTCCAGTATGTTCTAAACACCCCCCACCATGTGCCTGAAACCCAGTGTGTCTTTGACTCAGAGACTTCATAGAAAAGGCTGATCCTCACCATTTTCTATTCCTTTGATATAGGAAGAGGAGCCTACCTTCACCTCCTTTTCTTTCTCAACCTAATTGTGGCTTATCATTTACCCCTGTGACATATATTTTTGTGAATTTAGAAATTCTCATCCTATGAATTGGATTCATCCCTATTTTACAGATGGGAAAACTGAGGCTCAAAAATTAAGAAGCTTGCTTCAGGCCTCGTATCTCCTAAGCGGAGGGCTGAGATTTGAGCCCCAACTCACCTGACTGACTAGCCTGTGCCCCTCACTGTGTGAGGAAAGCCTATAGTGCAGTGAGACCCTGACTCACACTTAGTCTCCAATCTGGCTCTCTACTTCATGGGCCTGTGACCTTAGGCAAGCTACTAAATTGCTTCATGCCTCAGTTTCCTCATCTGTAAAACAGGGATAGCAAATTTTCACTGATGATGGTGATGACCGCTGCGGCTGCCACACTGACTCCTTCAGCTAAGTAGCCCAAAACACCTACTGATCTGGCTGTGTGGTCATCAATGCGGGAAGTGAGGGGGAGAGGCACAGAGACCATCCCTTCGCTCAAGGCCGTAGACAGAGAGATTCAGCTAGGGTGGGCTTGGGAGGGAGCATTCCCAGCCATGATGTGCAGGGAATGGGCTTCTGCTCATCCTTTCGTTTTCTCTCCCAGACTTTTGGAGAGAAGCTCCTAGGGGTCATGTCTTGGATCATGCCCATTTCTGTGGCCCTTTCCACATTTGGAGGCGTCAATGGTTCTCTCTTCACCTCCTCCCGGTGAGTGCTGTCTGGGTTCTTCCTGGACCAGGGGCCACTCTGCAGTGCATTGCTCTGTGTATATGTGGGAGGAGGGGTCTTGTCTCTGTCAGCTGGGTCTGTGTGGCCACCTGGGCAGTGACCTTGCAGGGGTTGATTGCTTACATGGGGACGTGCGTGTGTCACTGTGGACTCAGAGGGGCATGTCCTGCTCTTGTTGGCTACCTATGATGTGTATGATGTAATGGTGACGTGCTTCGTCCCACCTCCTTTTAGCAGGTACAGAGGCTGAGGAGCTCCCAGGCTTCCTGGTGCAGTTCCAGGTCAGGGGGCTGAGGTTGGCAATGGCACAGCGTTCAGCTGCAGCCCCAGAACTCCTTTTCTCCTACCCTGGAAATAGGCTGTGCCAGTTAAAAAGAAATCCCTGGGGCCTCTGAGCTGGTCCTCCATGAAAGGGGCCTTTGAGCTGGTCCTCATGCCTGGGGCCTCTGAGCTGGTCCTCCATGAAAGTTTGGGACCAGGCTGCAGGTACCATGGGACCATCTCTGAGCCCCCTGAGGGTGTAGCTCCTCCCTGATAACAGAGGGACCACCTGTGAGGCTCAGTGTAGGGTGGGAAGTAAAAGGGTTGGGGAAGAGCAGAAGGAAAGCATCAGGGAAATTTTAGGAAAACCGGAAGTGTGCATGGACACAGGACTCCCCAGCTCCTGTTTCCACACATTCAGGAATCTGACCCTTCCTTGACATCCCTTGCTCTGAAGCCAGCAATGCTGGATGATTTCCATGGACGTAGCTCAACAGCTCCCTCCAGGGTTCTTGGAAAGCCCCTCTGTCTCCAGGGCACAGTCCTACCAAAAAAGATACAGCAAATGCAGTGGCTCCTCTCTTCAGCTGTTTCCAGAGTCACCCATCACATCTGGGAGGAGTTCCCACGGCATGACAAGGGCGTGGCTTATTTTCAGAACTCAGGGCAGAAGGAGGAAGTGTGGGTGTCCCCTGTACCCCAGCCCCCTGTGATGCTCACCTGCAGCAACCTCGTGTGCATGTTACACAGGAGCAGTGGCCCCATGGAGGCCCCAGCCGAGGGCGAGCGCTGGAAGAGCAGTGACCCATGAGGCTCTCTGGGATCTATTGGAGGAGAGTGACTGGCTACAGTCACTGTAGAGCGGGGTTTGTCCCTCGGGCAGGCCAAGCAGCGGTCTGCGTGCATGTGGTCCAGCCGTGTGTGCATGCAGGAGACTCGGCAAGGCGCCTCACCTCGGGCTCGGAGGCGCCGCTCACCCACCGGGCCTCCTCGGCTCATCTTCCAGTTCTTTCCTTCCTTGCTCCCCCTTCCCTCCTCTCTCTCATCTGTTATGGTGTGGAATATGAAGAGGATGATCCGCCCGAGGAGTGGGAGTGTGTGTGGGTGTGTGTCATGCTTACTGTCGTAGTCGCCTCTGTTGTCGGCCAGCAGAGCAGGGTGGTCTCTTGTGAACTTGACACTACCCGGACAGTCGCACTTGGTCCTGGCTGCATGTGGGGGGGATGTGAATGGGGGACCCCAGCTATGTGCATGACGAGGCCCACAGCCCACCTGGGATTCACTTGGGGGCATGAGACTGCACTGAGGGGACAATTCATGTGACTGCAGGAAACCAGTGACACTGGCCTAGGTAGCTGATGATGGCAACTGGTGGTGATGCATGTGGGTGCTGGGGACCACTGTGACCCCCACTCTGTGGAGAGAGCGGTTGCCCCTAGACCCGCTCTCCCCACTGCACACATTACAAAGTCAGTGACACTTCTCTTCCAGACACCCAGAAAAGCATACTGGTGCTGTGCTTTTCTGTCCCCACTGCTGCGACACCCCTTTCCCTGCAAAATCCTAGAAAAAAGAAAAAGTCCTCTACTGCACACTAATATGTACATGGCTCCAATGCTTATAGTATTCGCTTTTCTCTCGCAAGAGGGAAGGGGGAAAGAGTTGCTCTGTTAAAATTTTTCTTTTTAAAAATAACTTTTAAACATTAATATCCTGACTATGATTTCACATTGTTCTCAGTGGGAGAACAAGGTAAAGGGTACATAGCATCTCTTTGTGTTGCTTCTTAACTTTTTTTGGGTCTTTTTTCTATTTTATGTTACTTTTTCAGTTTTTTGATTTTTCATGTTTTTTCTTTTTATATTTTGTATTCTCATATCTATATAATGTTTCTTACAAGTGCATGTGAATCATCTCATTTTAAAGTTTAATCTTGTATACTTAAATTTTTTTTATTATAAATGCCTTGTCTTTGTAGAATTTTATATTTTTTCCTATAAAGTTTAGGGAAGAAAATTAAAGTTACTCATAATCCTACTACCCAGAGATAATCAGTATTTTAATAAATGCTTTTGTGCCCATAAAGTCTTTTTAATTAATTAGGTCATATTCTATGGCATCATACAATTTTCAGGTTTTTTTCCCATTTAATATTATATTGTAAGCATGTTCACATGTGATTTTTTTCCCAAGAACTTTATTATGATTGCATAATATTTCGTGTTATGGACATAGTATCGTAATTTATATACTCACTCTCTTACTTTTGGTTAGGATGTATCTAATCTTTTTATCATCAGAATATCTTTGTATGTACATCTTTCATTAACTCTCCATTTCTTTAGGATGACTTTTGGGGAATAGAATAAGTAAAGGATATATATATATGCATATACATATTCTTATTTTAGATGTAATTTATATACCAAAAAATTGTAAACGTTCAGGTTGATGTTTTAAGAGTTGCAGACAGCCATGTAACCACCCCCATGGAGAGAGAACATTTCCTACAATTCCCCAGGTACCCATGTGTCCCTTTCTGGCCCACCATCAATTCTCGACTTTTCTGGCTAGGATATGAATCTTTCCAAACACAGCTCAGTCCCTATATATCAGAGACTGAGGTGGGGGAGACAGTTTTTACAGAGATTAAGGCCTCAGGTGTTGTCAGGAACACAGAGTGATAATCACCAGTCACCCCAGGCCCCCAGGCCACACACAGGTGTCCATGCACCCAGGATCCATCCACTTATCCACTGGTTGCCTCTGGTTTGCCTGCACCTGCATTTGTGAATGTGGGTCCTGTGATTAGTGGGTGAGAAGGTGTGCATGAGAAGGTGGGTACCTGGTTGGAGGGGGAGTGCTCCCAGGTGGGCAAAGGATGGTGTGGATGAGGGAGTCAGGCTGGGGAGGCTGCTTCTTGGGGTGGTTCACGAGCAAGCCAAGCCTGACCTGCTTTTCTTTCTGCCAGGCTGTTCTTTGCTGGAGCCAGGGAGGGCCATCTTCCCAGCGTGTTGGCCATGATCCACGTGAAGCGTTGCACCCCAATCCCAGCCCTGCTCTTCACAGTAAGGTCCCCTTCTGTCAGCCCTAGACACTTACTCCTTGTTTGTGCTTGCTCAGAGCTGCGGGGTTCACACTCCCCACACACCCTCCTGTCATCCTTCAAGTCTGCTTCTAGGTTTCCTGGGTCCTAGAAAATCTGGCATACACAGACATTATTACACGGCAAGGAAAGGCCCTATACCTCAGAAAACTTAAGGTTCTTAGGCTATCCTTTTGGGTCAGAATGAAGTGACTGCCTGAAGATCTCACAAAGAAACTTCTCTTTTCCTGGTTCTCCCCAACACCCGTTGCACACAGACAGGGTGCAGCTTTGGGCCTGTGCTCTGGCCGGTCACAGTCATAGCACAGTGGCCCTCCTCATCGCTCTTCTCACCCCAGAAGCTTTGCCAGTCTCTTGGGAAACATCACTGAAACAAATTCAGTGCTAAGCATTTGTCAAAAAAGAAAAATCACAAAGGAAGGGAGACTGATAGGAAAGGAAACTTGGGGTTGGAGTAAAATGACCCCAAAGTAAGAATCAGAGAGAACACACAGAGATTTTTCCCCATAGAGTCTTTTGGGTTACTTTTTTCCTTCTGGATCCTGGATAAAATTTTGAAAATGACTTGGTCCAGCAGAGAAGCCATGAGGCTGGGAGGAGTCAAGGGCATAGGCTGCATAGCACTGGGGGCAATGTCAGAGTGTTCAGATACAAGAGGAAGGTCATCTTGATCAGTTAGTTGTGAAAGGCGACTGGAGTAAGCCCCTATACTTCCTGTGGGCCACAGGCTCTATGCAGGCTGAGGCCCTGGTGTGGTGCTGTGACCCCAGGGCCAGTACAGCTAGAATCTGGCTTATTCATCTCCGAGAAGAGGCTCCATTACTCTCACCATCAGATCTCTCAGGACAACCTGTGTTAAGCCTCCTGTTCATTTTAACAATTCAGCAGAGAAGAGAACATGTTTCTAAGAGAAACACTGAGAAGATTCGATAAGTTAATATTTGTAGAATGCTAAGAACAGGGCCTGGCACCTAGTTAGTGCTATATAGCTTTATGATTTTTAGAAAAGAAAGGAAGAAAAATAAATGAAATGACTCAGCCAGGAGAAGAGGATGAGGTCACACACACACAAAAGCCTTAATCTGCAGTTAACAATCTTCCCAAGAGATTGAAAGAAAGAAATCAGCTTGAGCTATAACCAGGGGGAAATATAAGTGAAGCCAGGGCAGAGAGAGAGCCAGCTGCACTGCTGTGCCAATCTGGTTGTTGATGGCCAGTAAGTTCTGACTGGATACCTTGCCATACCAGTGGTTAAATATTTTGATGATCACCCCTCAATAAAAAGGATTCCTGGCAGTGAAGGAAAGGCGTTAGCAATGGCTTGAATTAGCATAGAAGACACCATTGTCTGCCACCTCTGGCTGTGGAGCAGACCCCCTGACCTGTAAACAGCACCCCAGTATCCAAATACCTTTCTGATCACCAATAAGCTTTTTGCATTCTTCGCAGTGCATCTCAACCCTGCTGATGCTGGTCACCAGCGACATGTATACACTCATCAACTACGTGGGCTTCATCAACTACCTGTTTTATGGGGTCACAGTTGCTGGACAGATAGTTCTTCGCTGGAAGAAGCCGGACATCCCCCGCCCCATCAAGGTGCGAGATCTCCCCTCCCTGTCTTCTGCTAGTTCTGGCTGCTGCTGAGATTTTTTGAAGTAACATTGGTTTAGAACATTATATAGGTTTCAGGTGACCTGCACTTTTTTTTTAAAGATTTATTTATTGATGGATACAAGTGCTGGGGTGTAGGCCAGAGGTGTAGCAGGCGAGAGGAATCACCTGACAGTAGGAAACAGAACAGGCGGATCCATTGAAGTACACTGCTGAGGGGAGGTCTGCTGAGCCATGTGCGTCAGCTCCCTGGCTGCAGATGGAACTCATGCTGCAGTGGCTGCTGATAACTTGATTGAGCTGAGGCTTAACCCCTTGTACCAGCAGGGAGGCCCCCTCAGGTGTCCAGCATTTTATGTGCCCCGCATTTTATATTAACTCATCATTATGTGCAACGGCCACCAAAAGTCTAACTTCTGTCCACCATGGAATTGATGCTCTTTATCCAATTTACCTACCCCTTCTACTTTTTGTTCTGTAATCTAAGGGTTTGTTCTGTTTATTCATTTGCTTATTTATACTTCTCCTTCTGTCCTACTTAACTTAATGCCTTCTAGGCCCATCTATGTTGTCACAAATGGTGACATCTCATCCTTTTTATATTTGAATAGTATTCCATTGTTTATTCACATCTTTATCCACTCCTTTACCCATGGACGTATCTTGGCTCCTGTGAGTAATGCTGCAGTGAACATTGGGGCCTGCGGGGGGGGGGGGGGTGTATATATCTCTTCACCTTAGTGTTTTAGTTTTTTGGATAGTTACCCAGAAATGGAGTAGCTGGATCACAGGATGTTTCTATTCTTAATTTTTTGAGGAATTTCCATACTGTTTAACATAATGCAGCTTAGGTTTTTAAATCAACATGTTCTCAGTGCTGAGCACAGGTCACTATCACTATGATGGCAGCAGGGTGATATGTGAATGGGGCGGCCATTTCCAGTCTCCACTGGGGTCAGGGCCAGAGCAAGCTGCCACAAAGAGTAAGTTAGAGTCAGGGGTGCTTTCGTCACGTCCATCTTTTGTTCCCTACAACTCTAGGTCTTAAATGCCAGCTGCTCTTTCGTAATTCCCTTCTCCCCCAACACTGTCCTGGGCCTTCTAGTCTGGCCAGCCCCCTAGTCTGGCCAGCCCCGTCATTCTCCTCCGAGGGCTGGGTTTCCTTGTGCAGAATCTCATCTATGCTATTCAGCTATTCAGTCAGAATGAGCTTCTTCCTCCCAGCTGCCTATCCAAATTCCTCTTTTTTTTTTTTTTAATGGTACCAAAGGCCTTTATTAGTGGCAGTGAGAAGTGGGTTGGGGAGGGAAATATGACCGCTCCAGCTCAGGGGATGTTCCAAAGGTCTAAAATCAAGGCGACACCCTAGCATCCAGGTAGAAGACTGTAACCTCAGTCGTGCTCGGCTTCATCCTTGGAGTGCCCTGTCTGTGCACTGGAGGATAGAACCGGTAGCTGGGCACCAAAGGTATGTGGCAGAGGCGGGGACAGGCGCCCTTCCTCCATAATTAGGGGCACCAGGACCATATACCAATACCGGCCCCAAAAGGGACGACTGCTAATCTAAATTCTAACCATTTTCACATGGGCCTCAAGCACCTCTTCTTCCTTGAAGCACCCGAGTCCTCTTCAGCCTTCCACGACTCTCCTTTTTTAAACTGTTCTGGCCTGACACATAGTAGGGTGCCTGGTGAGCCTATTGATTGCTACAAGGAATGACTTTGTGATAGCAACAGGTGGGCTGCTTAGGACAAAATTATGCTTCCTAGAACTCTCCGGGTTCTCTTGTAAATTAGAAGAATCACACACAGCCTTAAACTAGTGAGTTGCTGGAAAAGTCATGAGGCATTTTTGCTTGAAAAACATAGAAAAAAATATGTCGTGACTTTTCCAACAACCTGTATTTGGATCATTCTGATTCTGGAAACAGAAACCAGAAGATTCTTCCAGCTGAGAAATCCAGGGCTCTCCAAATCTGTGTTTTCCACTGCTACTTCTCTATCACTCTTGAAAGACTGCTGCAGGGGAGAGGAGCGGGAACCGCCCTCCCTAGTGCATGCAGCTCCTGAGAGGAGAGGACTGGAGCAGAAGGGCAGCTGGATCCGGGAGTCTGGAAGCGCTCTGCTGGGCCTCCCGCCACTGTTCACAGAAGGGATGGAGCCCAGAGAGTGGAGAAGCTGCTGCGGCCTGAAGCAGCCAGGGCCCCAGGCTGCCTTTTACTAGCTAGGGCTTCTGCGTGTGGCGGCTTTAGCTCCTCAAATTGCTGAAAGCAAGCTGTGACTGACCAGGGTGAGAGGGACGGGCACTCTCCACACTGCCACCAGATGAGGGCTCTGCCTAGAAGTAGGCAAGGCAGGGAGACATTTCCTTCCGTTTCCACTCATTTCTCTGCTTCTCCTTCACCACACGACCTCAGCAAGTGCACCAGTGTCCAGGGGCTCACCTATCCCGGCGGGCTTGGGGGCTGCCCCTGCTGTCTCTGGCACTGGGCAAAGGAGGAGACCTTGTGTGATCCTGCTCAGGGAAGGGGGCCGGGGAGGAGGTAGACAAGGGGGACTGAGCCCGCCCTCTCTCACCCTTCCTCTTCCTGACCAAGTTCACCAGTACTTGATGACATAGCAGTTGCCCAGTCAGGACTCCCGGTGGAGAAGCCACAGAGCTGAGGAAGTTCAGCGTTGGCCTCCAAAGTTGCTTGCCTGTGAGTGAAGAGGTGAGGATGCTCTGGCCCCATGAGTTATGGGGCTCACACAGATAATGGTACCTCTGTTCTACAGGTCAACCTGCTGTTCCCCATCATCTATTTGCTGTTCTGGGCCTTCCTGCTGATCTTCAGCCTCTGGTCGGAGCCCGTGGTGTGTGGCATCGGCCTGGCCATCATGCTGACCGGAGTGCCTGTCTATTTCCTGGGTGTTTATTGGCAACACAAGCCACAGTGTTTCCATAACTTCATCGGTGAGTTGTTGCAGGTGCTAGGTGGCTACGGGACCCCCCAGTCTGGTGTAAAGTGGTCGGTGGTGTGGCAAGGGCTGCCGAGGCTGGTGCACAGGGCCCTGGGAAAGGAGAAGGTGGGGAGGAGGCCTCTAAGGAGAGTATAGCTGGTGTTTGTCCACTGATCTTAGACCTGCAAGAGAAGGTGATGTGATAGCCATCCTGCCAGAGTGGTCTGGAGCCAGGCGGAGACCCTAGTTGGTCAGTGGGTGTGGGGAAGGTGGCAGGCTGTGGTAGCTCAGGGAACAGATGAGGTGGCCAGTCCCCCAGAAAATAGTCTCACAGATGCCGGTGGCTCTGGGGCAGAGCGCCAGGAAGGGCCCTGGCCTGGTTGGCCAGCTGGTGGGACTCTTCTCATTGATGTGGTGACCTCTTCCCTCAGAGTGGATGACCCTGGTGAGCCAGAAGATGTGTGTGGTTGTGTACCCCGCGATGGACGGGGGCTCGGGGACGGAGGAGATGAGCAAGGACATGGAGGAGCAGCAGCAGCCCATCTACCAACCCAGTGGGGCCAAGGACAAGAGCTCAGAGGAGCAGCTCTAGCCTTGAGGGCCCCACCTATTCTCAGCTGGTTCCTCCCTCCCTCCCCCCATTCCTGCCTTCCTTCCCTGCCCAGGTCCCCCCAGCACGCGCGCATGTGCGCGCACACACACACACACATACACACGCTCCTCTCTGTCAAGCAAGGGCAGGCCCTGGGTCTGGATGGTGAGACACTAAACCAAGACTGACACTTAAACCCAAAGAACCAGCCTCTCACCCTGGGACTTGTGTCCAAAGGCCCCACCAGGCCTGTCCACATTCTGTTAGAGGATATTGGGGCTCTCAGGGGTGCCCCTTAGGACCTACCCTCTCTTCTGGGCCCACGCATTCTATTTCCTCCCCTCAACGACCTTCCCTCGAATTCCTGAGCCCAGGGGAGGCCTGGCTCAGAGAAAAGTGGCAGCAACTGCAGCCAGTTGGGGAGGGACAGACTCAAGCTAATTTGTCACCACTGAAGATCAGCTGGAGAGACCCAAGTCCCCCTCCCTTCAGTAGGGACCCAAGAAACCAGAGGGGATGCTTCTCTCCACCCTGTACTCCTGGGTACTTGCCCCTGCCTCCTAAGCTCCCTGTCCAGTCAGGTTTCTGTCAGGACACCACCTCCCCACTGAGCTAAGGACCAATGAGCAGGAGAACCACCCCCACCCCCAGCAGGGCCAGGCCTGGGGAACAGCTGGGAAAGGCTCAGATTGCAGAACCCAGCCCTGCTCCTGCATCCTGCCCCCAACTCTGTGCCAAAGCTTCTGGAAGCCAGAAAGGCTTTTTATTTTCAGCATAGTAGATGTCTCTCTCCTAATGACAAAGCAGTTCCGCTTTTCCTCCCTCCCATCCCCAGGGGAAGACTCAGTCACCCAGTTACCCCTGTTGCTAGCCTGACACACCCCCGCCACACCCCCAGTGAGCTCTGCCCACTGCCCCGCCATGCCCTGTTCTTCCTCCAGGACCAGACTGGGTGTGAAGTCTCCCCAAGCCCATCAGGCCTGAAATCCAAGCCAAATCAGCCTTAAGTCACCTCCCATCCAAGAACTGGGCCTAAAAATACTCCCTTATTTCTAAACCTAGGCACAGAGCTGGTCTGAAATGCACTCCAGGAGGAAGGGAGGGAGCAAAGGAGGCTGCTGGTCCACCTCACTAGAGGTGCCCATCCCATAACCTTGGAGACTGTTCTGGAGAAGGTGTTTTCAGAAAACAGTACCCCCCCTTGCCCCAACTCAGATAAACGCTTCTGATAATCCCTGTCACTGTCCTGTCTAGACAGCCTCCAGGGCAGGATGAGAGGGCAGTGGCAGCCTGGCACCTCCTGGAAGGCCCGTCTCTGTGGCACGCGGACTCCCAGCATCCTTCAGGCTGAGGCCACTTTCCCTGTGCTCCTTGGGAAGGCCTCCCCACCATGAGGATGAGGATGAGGAGCCTTTTATCCCAAAGCACGATTCCTGGGGCACCCCCCTCTTCATCTTTTCTGCTTAATACTGGAATACCTGGGGAGCCACTCCTGTCCCGGATGGACCTCCCAACTTCTACCTGCCTGCCTGCCCTCAACTTGCTGAGGCCAGGACTGGTCGGGAGGACTAGGGCTGGCCCCTGGAGGGTCAGGGGACCATCCTCCTATACCCTCATCTCATTCCTCTAACCTCCTCCCCTCTTTCAATTATTATTTTTTGTAAAGTGGATGCCTTACTTTTTGGATAAATATTTTTGAAGCTGGCATTTCTATTTCTTTTGGATTTTGTAATGTAAGGTTGTTTTTTGTTGTTTTGGGGGTGTGTGGTGGTGAGGGGTGGTTATTATACTAGAATAATATTCTTCTGCCTTTCAGTTATTTAGATTTTAGAAGGTTTTTGTTTTGTGAAGGCTTTCTTTTTTCCTTTTGATGTAATAAAATTTTAAATGAAAATAAAGTCTGTGGTACTGATAATTAAATGACCACCTGCAGGCCCTACCTGGTGGCACAGTAAGTTAAAGCCCAGCACTGTGAAGCTGTCCACAGCCACTGCAGCAATTTGATTCCTGCCCTAGGAGCTGACCCACATGGCGCAGCAGACCTCTCTTGTCTCGCCCACTGCTCCCCTCAGCAGTGTATTTCAGTAGATCTGCCTGTTCTGCTCCCCACTCTGTCTCTGGTGAATCCTCTCACCCCCAGCACCTCCGCCTGTTATCTCCCCCCACCCCACCCCGTTCTTGTGTGCATAAATAAATAAATCTTTAAAAAATTAAATGACCACCTGAGACAGAATCTCCAGGCATTTCCTGTGTTAAGAGGAGCCTGCTGTGGGTCCTCCCAAGATGGCGTGCCCAGAGGCCCGCTCTCCACCACCTCCATTCAAATGCCACAGTCATACACCCACCACTCTAAACCAAAAGCAGTTTCATTACATCTGTGAAGTCACCTCCGTGCCTGCTGTGCATGCAGCTGAGAACTTGCAGACTAGCTGGGAAGAAGAAACATCCCTGTCCAAGCAGGAGTCGGGAAGACAGGGCCAAGCTGAGGAAGGAAGCCAAGGTAGGGCAGTCCCTCAAAGCATGGTCCAGCAAAGCCTGGACAGTGGAGCCAAAATGGGAAGGGAAGGGGCAGGTCAGCCTGCCCCTGTGGACTGAGGCCGAGGAGACTCAGCAGAGCACCCGTAGAGACCAAGGGCCCTAATGGGAAGGTGCAGGGAGGCGGGCCCACTGGGCTGTGCAGAGCTTTCCAAGATGAGGATTTCTAGATGAAGAACTAGTTTTCCTTGGACTGAGACAAAGGAGAAAGCAGTTAAGATAGGAACAAGTACCCCCTGGTGCTCTGGGTTAATTGCTAGAGGAAGCTGAGAGGATTAGAGCAGACCTTGCTTGGAGCAGCCACCTCTGTGGGCAGCCCTCCCAGATGCCTGTCCTGGGCAGGCATCATTCTGGAGCCAGCACTGCTGACAGACTTGGCGGTGGGGGATGGTGTTTAAGACATCAACCTTCACCATCTGGGACATGGTGAGGACACAGGCAGGCAAGATGCCGCCACTGGCCGTCTTGGCCTGGCCTCAGCACCCCTGCTCTGTGGCTGGCATTCTAGACTGAGACTGAAGACTCCTCACCATTCACAGGGCACAGACGCTAAACAGCTGTGTGTCCTTGGGCAAGTCACTTAACCTATTAAGTATTTCCAGAGGGCAAAAAAAAAAAAAAAAAAGGCTGACCCTCATCTCAAAGCGCTCTTCTAGTTCCCAGCCCAAGGCTGTGAGGGCAAAACAGGCAAAGGCCAGTCTTACGCAAGAGGCCATTCTCCAAGCCCCGCATCCACCCGGTGGCCAGACCCTATTTGCCCAACACTCACATTTTTTCTTTCCCTGAAGTCTCCACCCTGTTGCCCATTCTGTCAAGTGCAGCACCCCCCCCCAACTCCTCTCCCTCCTTGGAGACACTGATCCTGGGGGGCGCCCCTCTCTCTGGGTAAGGTGACACTTGCTGATCTTTTCAACCTGGTCACATGTTCAAACGTGGGTCACCTCCCGAGCCACATGCATTTATTTTTAACCTAGACCTTTACCTTGTTTTAACCCAGGCACTTTAATGCTAGGAATTTCAGATACTCAGACCTTAGGCAATTTGGGAATCTTTTGCACATGACTGCTTAGACGCCTATTTACTGCAATGTGTTTCCTAACCACTGTCTAAGGATTTTGCTATATACTGTGAGAACAGCAAATTTATATTCCTGAATTCCATGTCAGCACACACTGCAAATAATTTGTCAGCTCCCTAATAATATCCATATGTGTCAGTCCACCTGTCCTGAATTTCAATTCAGGCAATTTGGTCACCATGGATGAAGAGATGGAGAGGATGGATCTCACCCTATGCTCAAGGAGCAATGCGCCTGGGGGAAGGAGGGTGAGAAGGCAGACAGATACCTGTGGGTCTGTCTCAGCGCTGACTGGGCGCCTGTCAGGGCCCTCTGCAGGCAGAAACTGAACCACCCAATGGCCTGGGGCCTGTGCAATGCCTGGTACCTCCTGGCTCAAAAATGCTCCTCAAATGGAGGAGTCAGCTGAGGCTGCAGCCTAGAAGACATGGATAAACCAGGAGGACTGGTCAGAGGAAGGGCAGAGGAGGTGGTTATTTGCTGAGACCAGTAGTTTTCCCCTACATAATCTCATTCAAAGTTTGATTAAATGCCCACAGGGCAGGCATTACTATTCCTACTGCATTTTACCAAGGTCACTGAGCTACTTCTGACAAAGACAGAATCTGATCCCAATTCCCTCTGACAGAGCTGCCATGCTCCCTACTGGAAAGACCTGGTGAAGGAAGCGAGCAGTTACAATGTCACTAAAATGCACATACACTGTCAGCAGCTAAGTGTAGCCAACAGGTAGGCTGTGCAGCAGCTGGGAAGAAAAGACACAGCTGAGCACGGACAGCTTCTTTCTGCCCCTGAGCAAATCTGGGAACCCAAGTACCAACACTCCCCCCACCCTTATGGGCCTCCCCCTGCTTCCTGCCTGTCACCCTCTCCTCTCTTACCCAGACAACAGCCCCTAAAAACCCCTTGGTTACTGGGAAACACTGATGTCAGAGCATGTGTCAGCAACGGCTGGGAGGTGAGGGCCGGAGATCTCTTATCTGCACGTGGCCAGCAGCGCTGTGACTTTCTCATTTCCTGCCTGCTCTATTTGCATTCCTCCTGCTTCATCCAGCACCCAGTTTACCCACTACTGACAGTCCCTGTACCCCAAAGGGACTGATCTTGAGCAAAGAAGGCTCTCTGAGTCACACAGCAACCCCCCCCCCCTTACCCTATCCCTTCAGGCTGGGATTTCAAGAACAAACTCACTGTTCTTTCCCCCCAAGACCACATCCTTGGATGACCTTGAACAACTCAGCTTCTCAGCCATGTTTTTCTTGTTTAAAAACTTGGGGTGACCCACGGGGATTACAATTGAGATGGAAAAAAATGTACAAAATGATGTAAAAATAAACTTTTGTAATAAAAAAATTAAAAAAATAAAAGGTTGGGGTGAAAAAACTGGGTAGCCTTGCTCACCTTCTTGCTGAGCTTACAAGGCAATGGACAGAATGGAAAAGTATAATTTTATAACACCAGAAAACGCAAGGCCTTAACCATTATCGTTATTTCAAACTCAAGAGGGGATAAAGGTTTTTTTTTTTTAATTATTATTTTTACTTTTATGAAGAAGAACTGGTGTGGGCAGACCTCCCTAATGGCACAGGGGTTAAAGTGTTGGTGCTACCAAGCTTTTGCCAGCCACCAAAGCATGGGTTGGATCCCAGACCCAGAGGTGACCCACACAGCACAGCAGACCTCTCCTGTCTCACCGGCTGCTCCCCTCAGCAGTGTATTTCAGTGGATCTGCTTGTTCTGCTCTCCATTCTGTCTCTGGTGAATCCTCTTACCCTCGCTGGCTACACTTCTGGCCTACACCCCAGTTCTTGTATGCATAAGTAAAAATAAATCTGAAAAAAAGAACTGGGATGTAGGCAAGACAGGAGAGGTCTGCTGCGCCATGTGGATCAGCTTACTGGCCAGGGATCAAACTCAGGCCCTCGTGATGAATAGTCCTGAGGCTTTAATTCCCTAGGCTACCAAGGAGGCCCCCTTGGGATAGAATTTTTCCCCACTGAGACAAGGCCCTGGCGGCTGGTTCTCAGTCCACCCACTCTCCCTGAAACCTCCCAGACTGGTGGTTGAAATTGCACTACAAGTCCCATTCCCACCGTGTGTCCTTTTCTGCCTTCTGGAAACCCAGCAGCGCCTTGCCTGGTGCTAGGGCCCTAGGAGGCTGCCCTCTGCAGTCCACCTCCTTCCTCACCACCGCCCTCCCTCGAGCTCAACGTTTGAAGCAATATTGCCACCTGGTGGTTGGCAGAGATACTGCCACCAAACTAAAGCAGCCCAGCTTGCTTTGGGACTTATTTTGCCACTGTGTCCTTTGAAAAGGTGAGCAAGCATAAATCTCCCCACTTAGGGGCTGAGGTCTGTCTCTGTATTTCAGGTCACAATTTTAGAAAAAGTAGCTCAGGCCATGCACAAAAAGTTTCTGGGAGACTCTAAGAAGAGTAACTTGCCTATCAGCAGCCCTGGCTGCATTTGCATCTTTTATTTTAGTCTTCAATGCCAGATACCTCCCTCTGCTTCTGCCCCACTGTGGCCTGGCCTTTGGTGCACCTGGCACAATACCTGCCCCCACAGGGCCCCACAGCAGGAGCCAGTGGCCTTTCCTTTTCACTGAACCTCAAGTTGCTTTTGTAGATTAAATTTGACAAATAAAAGCAAGGCCACAGGGCCCTCCCTGGTGGTGCAGTGGGTTAAAGCACAACACTAAAGAAGCTAAAGCCACTTCAGCATCAGTTCGATCCCCACTCCAGGGGTGACCCACATGACACGCCTGCTGCTCCCCTCAGCATTGTACTTCGTCGATCTGCCTGTTCTGCTCCCCATTCTGTCTCTGGTGAATGGTGAATCCTCTCACACACACACACACACCCCCACCTCTGGCCTGTATCCCAATTCTGTATGCATAAATAAATAAGTCTTTTTTTTTTTTA